GTTAGTTTTGCAGAAATGCCACTCTCCATGTGCTTCCTGAAGGTTACTGCCTATCTTTATGGCCATTCAGGCTCCAGAAGAGAGCAGCAGTTCAGGCTGAAGACCAAAGATGATAAAAGGAATGCAGAGGCATTCACAGGCTCTGACAGGGGTAATGACAGCATTCTCTCCCTATACAGGGGCAGTGGGAACAGAGCTATTCATGCTGATACCTAAGAATAAATGTACATAGAGATGTTAGTTCTAACCTACAGTGCAGGAAGGGCTTGCAGCAGCCTCTCAAGGGAGCAGCAAACCAAAACTGCTTTTAAGATGGAGCTTGACTCATTTGTAAAAGGGACAGTGAGATGCCTCAAAGATGCTGGAGGTCCCTGAGGTTGTATGTGCCCATTGCAGCATTCTCTAAGCTTTTCTTGTGCACACATTCCCTTGAGGAAGAAACAAAACTATGCTCAGGCTTCTCCTGCTGTCTGAACCCAGTTCAGCTCTGGCCCTCCCAAAACAAGAAGTTCAGTGTGTTTAGAGCAGCAGAATACCTGACATCCAGCTGGCAAAGAGAAGAGGAGGAATCTTCAGAGAAAATGTCTGCAAGAGCAACCAGCCTGTGATTCCCTAAAAGAGGAGAAATGCAGGTGTTAGATGCAAACTGAGAACTGTTTTAAATATTTAAATGGCCACAGGGCTGGGATAATAGCGCAGAAAGGAGGCTGTAAGCATGTGCATGCAGCACAAAGGGCTCATCTCTGCGCCCTCAGTTTGCCCCCTTCAGTGGCCTAAAGGGAGTTCACTCCCGCCGAGCACAGTGTTCAAGGCAATGGAAACATTTGCTGACTGGGCAGTTTGTTTCACTAGAAAAATCCTGGTTTTGTTTGAGAAGTCAATATGCAGCTTTGTTTTAAAAATGGCCAAGAGCACAGGGTTAAACACAAACCTTAGAAATTACATGTATTTCAGGTGATCCTAAGCTTTCCTGTTTCATTTCATTAAAAGAAGAGAAAACAATATTCTGGATTTACCTGAAATTCATTCCTCAAACATTTCTACTTGGCCTGTGATCCAAAAAGTATGTAATTTCAGTAAATTCAGTTCCACTTCTTTGACACAAACCCTTCCTTTAATTATTCCCATCCCTCCAGTGGCTGCCAGCAGCTTTTAAGGTACAAAATGGCCAAACTCAGGCAAAACCTGCGCCTCTGAGTGACAGGTAGTGCATCTGCTGCTGGACCTGTTCCTGTTAAAGAGTCTGAAGCAGATCAGCGTTCAGTCAAATCTGGAGTCCTTCTGAAACCTGGTTTTG